AATCTGTTCCTTTGTTAACACTACTGCCCAGTCAGTCGTTCAACGAGTAACCACTGAGGACATAGAGGAGAGGAGAGTCAAAATGCCATTTACCACAAGAACCTCATGTCTTGCCATCCAACAAGACTGTCCAGACCTGAGACGTACACATGCTCACCTTCTGCAAGGCACAAGACCATATCAAAAAAGCTAACAAATGTTCGGGATGTCAAGCGCTACTTACAGCATGCAGTCATTGCCAAGGATGGGCTACTGGTGGTCAAACGCAATGTACCATTCCACCCAACACAGGAGTGCATCATCGTTCCTCGCAGCGTTCTCGACGGACTCCTTACTTCTATACTCATTTCATTGGACCATCCATCTTCCAATCAACTAAAAAAGTGGTAAATTGGTTCTTCTTTGCACTTGACATGGACAAAGCTGTTAACAACACCATAGACAAGTGTCATCAGTGCACCGCATTGAAAAGTACACCTAAATTTCAACCAGAACACACTTCAAGTCAACCACCTGACAAAGTTGGCTATCTGTTTGCAGTTGATGTCCTTAAGCGAGAACGCCAACTCATACTTGTTCTGCGTGAGTACATAACTTCCTATACGCGGACATTACTCATTGAAAATGAGCGCCATGAAACACTTCGTGAAGGACTGCTCATTTTGTGTTTAGAGCTACTACCGTTAGATGGCCCATTTGCTGTAATCCGGACAGACCCTGCACCTGGATTTACTGCGACGAACTCTTGGCCAAACATCGCATATCCATTGAAGTGGGACGTATAAAGAACGTCAATAAAAACCCCGCAGCAGAGCGAGCAATACAGGAACTAGAAAAAAGTCTTGCGTTATGATCCAATGTGTCGCATAGTTACTCCATTGTCTTTATGTTTAATTACCTCTCGACTGAATACACGAATTAGAAGTAGAGGAATCTCTGCCAAGGAGATGTGGACCCATCGTGACCAGTTCTCACATGAACAGATCCCTGTGGACAATAACGAGCTTATTTCCAAACAACATGATATTAAGCTTGATAATCACCCACACAGTCAGGCCTCTAAACAACCTGGAAAGAACAGTGCCCCTGGATGTAAGAGAAAAATTGGGTGACTTGGTGTACTAATATTATGACCGTAATAAATCAAAAACCAGAGACAGGTATATCGTAGTATCTTGCGATGGCGAATGGCGACACATTAGTAAGTTCAGTGGCTCCCAGCTCAGACGAACAGCATAACGTGTTAAAGACAGTGATTGCTACATAGTACTATCAGAGGAAATACGTCAAGACTGTGTTCTAAACAACCTACCCTCTGACGATAAGTGTGATGAATCGCCTCATGAATCCATTGGCTTGGAAACCGACTTAACCAATCCCACATACCCATCACCACCACCTTCTATTCTCTCGGATCCACCAACTCCATTTCATCCCTCATCACCCTCAGATAACCTCACAGAACCAACAGTTTCTGAGATAACACACCCTGACAGTGCCGCCACTTTACCACCTACTCCCAACGATGCTGTCCTTCAACCTAGACCCACTCGTGTTCGCCATCTGATTATGTATGTGATTAAACCGTGTGATTTGTGTTTGGGGCATAATAATCCCCTTTTAAGTGTTAATTCTTCCCATATGTCAGAATTCAGTTTCAGTTGTCATTGCATATATTATATTGTATGATTAACAGTACTTTTATTGCATTTAGTATTTTTTACATTTGTATAAAAGAAAGAAAAAAGGAGAAAAAATGGTGACACCATTATGTTAACAACTTGTATTCCGGGTTCACATAGTGTGACCCATATGGTTCTGTGTTTATATTATCTTCTTGTCATTCCACGTTTTCCGGTTTAATAAATGTACTGGTGCATTGCTGCGTTAACATCTGTGTGTTTGTTGCTGTGTTGGATATACAGTAACTGGCGTTAAGAATTTTTCACTCATATGGAGACGCCGCCACTTGCCGATGGAGAGCTGCACTTGTCCTGTACTTGGCACAGTCAGGGCCATTGAGCACGGAGGGATCTTTTTCGTGCCAGCACCTACTGCGACAAGGAACCTCTGTTTATACGGTTTCATCCGAAGGACCGGTCTCCACGTCGCACAGTGGGATTCGAACTCGTGACGTAAGGATCAAATCCATACTTGGCGTCTCTAGAGCAGACACTCTAACCACTGCGCCACGCGGGCGAGTCAATGCAAGTGTAATACAGATATTTAGATTTGAACATATTTTTTTTTTAATTTTCATATGTAATATAATAACTTTATGATAAATATGCGTACTTTTCTTTCATCGAAAACAGTAATATTTGGTAATATAAGCATGCAACATCTCCAGTACAAATAACAGGATATGATATATTTCAGAAAATTATTCAAATCTTATCTAAACTACCAAGGATAAGGGATGTCTCTTTGTGGCTTGTTAGCGCTTTGATATGCTTCATTGACGGCAGAGAGGAGCTCGTCAAATTCCATGTTAGTGTACATACTAGTTACGCCATATGTAATCATCAGCACGTCTGCTGGAAGTTTGAGGGTTTCTATTCTGTTGATAAAATCGGTAGTGTCCTCAATATATGTTGATTGTTTTTGTACTATAGGAATGAGAAAATAATCACAGTAAGCACCTATGTTACGTGTTGGCGTATCGCACTGTGAAATAATGGGGCGACCAGGTGGTAGCTGTCTGATGCCTTATCCAGATGCTGAAGATCTTATCTTCCTATTTTAGTGTGTCTTAGAAAACAATTATTTTGAATTCAATGGAAAATACTACAAACAAATTATAGGCTGTAGTATGGGTGCGATACCATCCCCTGAAATCTCAGATACAAGAATGTACCAAATCACAAATGTCAAAATTCAAATTCGCCAACCAAGTTCTCTATCATGGTAGATATAGAAATGACGGGTTTATAGCCTTTAACGGCACAAAAGAAGAAATTCTAGAATTCTTCGATATCGGCAATACCTGTCACGATCACTTAAAATTCAACTTTGAAATCTCAGATGAAAGTGTTAACTTTCTTGACACCACAGTATACAAAGACCTGAGATTCCAAAAGAGTAAAGCCCTCGATATACAATCATATGTAAAACCAACAAATAATTTTCAGTATTTACACAGAGAAAGCGCCCACAGTCCTTCAGTATTTAAAGGACTTATAAAAGGTGAATGCATCAGACATGCAAGAAATACAAGTGATTCATCTATCCTGTCAACAGTTTTAGCAAACTTTAAGACACACTTAACCAAGAGAGGTTACTCTGATAAGGAAATCGATCCCATTGTCACTGAAATGGGCAAAACAAACAGAAAAAAGTACTTCCACGAAAAAAATCGTGAAAGAAAAACGGCGTCAACCAAATGTTATGATTACCAAATACAATCCATATATCAAGGGTTTAAAAAACGCCTTCTCAAACACTGGAACATTTTGCAAACAGACACAATTTGCAAAGAGTTATTTATCGATGAACAAATAATCGCCTACAGTAAACACAAAAACATACGCGAAATGATAATTAAGTCACACTTACAACAGCTTATGACTAATAAATAAGGTGGGCTCCTGATGATGGCGGGCCTTAAGAGCAAAAAATCATATTTCTCTTTTAAAAACCGCTGAAACACTCTATGCCTCTAAATTAACATTTTTATTGAAAAAATCAGAAGTGGTCTAGAGTGTCGAGCCCTGCTAAATTTACGACAGGCTTAGTTGATTGATGTCTTTTTTTCAAAACCAACAGAGTAGCGTAGAAAGGAGTCGATCCTTACGTCGCAGCTTCAAATCCCACTGTGGAGACCGGTCCTTTGGATGAGATCGCAGAAACCGAGGTCCCTTGACGCAGTAGGTGCTGGCACGAAAAAGACCCTCACTGCTCAATAAGCCTGAGTGCCGAGTATAGTACAAAATTTGTATCTCTCCACCGGCAAGTGGTGGCGTCTCCATATGAGTGAAAAATTCTCGATAGGGACGTTTAACAACATACAATCAATCACAAGGCAATTGTTATTATATTAAAAGAAAATACCGCGAAAAAGAGCGCTAACGAAATATTTTGAAAATATCAATATATCTCTATAACTCCTTGCAAAAGCAACTAATTTATTTGGATATTCTTTAACCCCTTCTCTACCGCATCGGTCAATATGACCGATAGCGCGTTAAAACACGGCATCGCGATAACAGGACCTCTGTATATTTTTAATAATAGCATTAAGGTATATAAATTATACATCATCTTTTAGGAAATTATCTCTACTTTCAGATCCTGTAAAAATTTTGAGCCTTATTAATCGGTAATGAATAGATTTTACGTTTTGAAGACATTCATGACTTTTTGAAAATGACGCAATTTTCCAAAGCAAGGACGAATATCCTGACGATAGGTATATTTTTTCCTGATTAAATCATTTAAATAAAATTAATATATTTAAAAAGGATATTTTCTCTGCTTTTAAAATATGTAAAAATTATTGCTTTTACTTTTAAATATTTTGTTAAAACAAGAATTTTCTTCCACGCATGTGATTTTTCTGGGTTTTATTCGTAATATTGGAATTAAACGCAGTTTTACCTTTATTTCTGTGTTGAAATAGGGAAAACAAAATACAGCTGGTAAAAGTAGAGAAAATTTCCATTTCAACAAGCCTTCACTGGTCTCTTTATTTTTGGTATTTTCTGAATTACCATAGTTTGAATTTTGAACCTCCGCGTAATTTTTGTAGAAAATTTGAATGTAGTCAATATTTAACGTCAAGGTCGTTTTCGTTGCGCCTCATTCGGAACAACATGTTTAATACATGTACTATTATATTCAATTAAATTTAAATAGATGCATTATTTAAAAAAAATGGTTTAAAATAACAGTCATTATCTTTACACCTTTAGAGAAATATGGTACATATGTATTTTTGTTTTTTGATGCAATGTGCAATAAGTTTATTCAGTGTTGATAAAAAAAATGTTTGATTCCTAAAGGTCTACGTCCAAAAAATAAGATTTATTGCTGTTTGCTTTAAAATATATTCTTAATATAAAATACAATTAAACATATACTGACATGAAATTTAAAAAAAAAAAAACTTTGAAACACAATGATTTAATACAAAATCTCGCATTTACACGACTCATTACGGTATGAGTTGATTTTATTCGAGATTAACACGTGTTTCCGCTGTAGCAGTAAACAACAACACTTCAACAGCATGAATTTTCATGACTATTTTACGATGGAGAACACGTCAATTCATCAGATATGACGGGTATTTTCTTTGGCATTAGATGTGAGTAAGTATTGATTGAAAAGTTTAAAAGTATTGTAGAGTACATTGACTGAAATGAAAAGACATAATAGACTGCCAATGACCTATATACTATAGTAGTAGACTGGACCCTGGCTACACATGTACATGTGATATGAAGCCGTTCGCTGGTTTGACATCGTCGGTAACCCAAAAATGACACTTTTCGGTTCTTTCAAAAAACTCACACAAAAAATCTTTTTTCCGATGACAAAATTGTTTACAATACGATGTCACTGTTTTCTCAATATGGAATTTGAATACTGTGTTGACTGATCAACAAAATATTTTTGTTCGATGTACTCCGTCCCCTCCGATCCACATTTTTAATTTGGAGGTAGGTGGTTAATTTTCGTGTGGTTTACACTGCTGAAAAATTGATAACTTTCATGAAATCACAGATTTCTTCGCAGTACACATTTGACATGTTTGTTAGGTACACAAGTTTATTGATATAAAAACTTTCAGTCAAAAAGCATCCTATAGAAATTATACATCTTTGCTTTAAAATGAAACAATTTTAGTAATTTTAAAAAGAAAAATAAAAGTTTACAGTGCTGAAAAAATTATTGGGGTGGATAAGTATGATTGCTCCTCATTGTGTGAAACAGTTACAAATCGGTTATCCTGTTGGCTATAACTGACCTCCTTTATAATTTCATTCAAGAAATAATTGTGTGGTCACTCATTAATAGCCCCCAAACTTTAAAAAATTTGAGTACAAAGTCTCTCATGGAGACACAATTTGGTGAGCGATTTTTACATGCATTGTATTCAGAAGAGTTCAAAGTTCAATATTTCCACTGCAACAAGGTGCTACTTTTTGCACATGCTGAAAAAATAAATCGTTTGAGAAAAAATTGTGATAAAATAGCTTAAGCTATTCGGAATAGCTTAATTAAGCTATATAGCTAAATCAAGCTATATAGCTTAATCAAGACTTTGTGCCGGACCTGTCAGAGTACATCAAACAAATCAATTTTTGTATTGTGGGCCTGAACGTCCAAACCGGGATTTGAGATGATGAATTCGAATAAGTTTGACTTATTTTTGTGTTGTTTTTGAAGTGGCATGGTAAGTTTTCTTGACCACCTCTAAGTACATTCAAAGAAAAATGAAACATGACATAATTAACACAAACACATAATTTTATTTAGCACGTGTAGTGCGCTGGTACCATTTAGGCTTCAGAACTTTCATCTATGAAGACCCACTTGCTGATGGCCACCATGCACAGAAAAGACCATGATGTGGAGGACATATGTGCTAAGTTATTAGTAAGTCAGTTTTATTGCAGTCAAAATTCCTCATTGCCACTGGACGGCTATTAGTCAACACTCCCAGGTACATGAGTAGCCGGACTGGCGCAGTGGTTAGAGCCTCTGCCCTATAGTCACGAAGTAAGGAGTTGATCCTTACATTGCATGTTCGAATCTTACTATGAGACATGGAGACCTGTTCTTCTGATGAGACACTAGAAAAATATCTTATCTTATATTATACTTATATAACCCAATTAATGTCCCTTGTCGCAGTAGGTGCTGGCATGAAAAAGATCCCTCACAGCTCAATAGCTGTAAGTACCGAGATTAGAACAAAATTTGCATCTGTCCGCCGACAAGTGGTGGCGTCTCCATCTGAGAGAGAAATTCTTGAGAGAGACATTTAATAACATACAAACAAGCCCATATATATAAACACCTTATCCCAGGGATTTTTCTCTGAAGAAACAGTTTTCAGTCCAACATGCCCTTTCTCTTAACAACCCTGACAACAAAAACTAAAAATGGATACTTCATGAACTTGATAAAATAATGGTCAATTCTGCTATTTTTTAAAATTTATAATTGATTAACCTTGATTGTTTAGTACTTGCAATATTTCAGTCAAAATACATTGACTTCCCCAAACCATTGAACTACAAGTATGAATAAATATGACATACATAATATAATATATATGATATGCTTTATAAAGACTTTTTAACAATGTTATATCGATTTGCCAATTGTAGATTTCTGTATAAACTGAATTATCTGATTAAAACTACATATTCGATTAGAAAAGCTTTTTCAAAACTTTTTTTTAAAATTTGTTACAGAAGTCGGGACAGAATACATTTAGAAACTGATCATGCCTTGGTCAAATCAAAGGTGTTCCCTCAGTCTTTCAGAGAGATGGCAGATAGTTCATTCAACATGAAGATGATGTGCACATAATGTAATCTGGAATCTAAAGTTAGAGATAAAAACCTGCAAACTTACTAGCAAATAAGCCTATCTGCTTGTTAATTATTCTTTGCCGGACACTTCACTTTTAGGAATGCTCTTTATTTCTATCAATGATGCAAGTGGTTATTCAAGATCATGTCATGTGATATAAGGGATTCTGACTTTTGACAGCATAAGACAAGGGTTTGTGAGAAGAGTAGCAAATACTAAAGAAATCCTTGGATACTGAAATTCAGTCATTGTATGCCACATAAACTGGATGAGTGCAAAATTGTATCTGAAGTTCTGTGCTTGTCCATCTTTGCTGTTTTTTCATATGCTTATATAATGACAAAAGTTGTTTTAACAAGTGACCCAGTAAAGACTTGAAAATGTAAAATAATTCTTGTAAGAAAAGAAAAATTGTAAATGTTTTCTTATACATTGTATTCTAGATGACAAAGAATGTGTTTGACTAAGTTTTTGAAAATGACAAAATAAATTCTCTTTTGTGTAATTAAAAAATGATAATGGTTGCAATACATGTTTCCTTTAATATGATTTTAATAGTATTTGTCACTAAGATTGAAATACTTGAGAACATATTTTACAAATTTTGTTTCAGTTTACTTAAGTCAGAGATATATTTTTTGACAACCAAGATTTGAAAAAAAAAGAAAAAAAAATTATTAAAACAAAACTATTCACTTCTGTGATATTTCTGTTGATTTTGATGTTTACAATTTCATGTGTCAGTTATTGGACATTACGTCCATAATAATTGCAGCATTTCAAATTTGATATATACATACAATTTAAGGCAGATTTCTGTACTGATATGACCTTGACCACCAAAGAACAGAAATTTCAGGGTCAATACTTAAGACAATTATTTGTTGGATGTTTTATACATTATTTTTGACCTTATATCTTACAAACGATACCATGGAAAACTGTCTAGAATGAGAAGTTAGAAACCTATAAAGCCAAAAAATTGAATATTGTTGTTGCTTAGCAACCATTTAAAGGTCATTTAACACAAATTTGAACAAAAATTATATGTGGATATTGCAATACAGTATGATGCCTTCTAAAGAGTAAATTCAGAATTTTCTTCTTTAACATCCATTGTTACAAATTTTAGCAAGAAAGATGAAAAGTTTTGGGAAAAAAATCTAAAATTATGCACTTATTTGACCTTTGACCTCCAAAAAAAAAATGAATCTGATGAGGTCAAACTTTCAAACAATTATCTGATGTATATTATTTCAGTATCATTACCCTACATTTGACTTTACAATGTAATGGAATGCTTAAATGTGTGTGGGATGAGGAAAAAACAAGAAATACTGCCTGAAAATTGATTAATACTCCGTTGCTTAGCAACCTCTTTAAAGTCATTATTTGCAGAATTGAAAAAAAAGTTTATGTGATTAATGTAGTACAGGATAATGCCCTTTTGTGGGTTTATTCTGAATTTCCTATTTCAATGTGTAACACTGTTAATTTTTAACTTGAAAATTAAAATGTGTCAAAAAATGCAATAAAATTCTGCACTTATTTGACCTTTGACCTCAATTTCCACTAGCAAGGTCAGTCGTGAGGTACTTACATAGTTATGAAATATCATCTCCAGAAAATTCCCTACAAAATGATATACATTATGCCTAGATTACTCTTTGAATAAAAAAGATATAAATTGATTTATAAGGATATGTCAAAAGGTTTGCAAAAACGCTGAAAATGTGCCGGTAGAGAAAGGGTTAAGATTCTTTTATTAATGTAATTATATATTCTTCTTACCCATTGTTATATAATTATTCCTGTTATTAGTTTAACCATTTACTGACTTTCTTTTATTAGTAAAAACATTTGATTTTATATCATTATTAGCCAATCAGATCATTTCTTTTGTTTTGTGTGCGAGTCTGTGATTTGATCTAATAAACGTGTTCAACTCATGTCTGATGCATCTCTCTGGGTCCATCGCTCACCAAAGGCTCCATAATCTAACACCCATTATATAGCTTAACACTTAAGTGGATAAAATGATCATACAGAAAGGCAATCATACAAAATAATAAGGTCTTAGTTTATCAGGTATTTGACACCTTTGAAAATGTCAATTGCAATTCATTACGGATGTCAACGACTGTCTGGTAACCAATTACTCATTCAAATGATAAATCTTCCATTTTTTCTAATGTAAAAAAATCATGCGCTTGTATAGTCTCAAATAACTTTTGACACGAGACCACTAAAAGATTTTGACAGGTTTTTACACGATGATGGTGTCAAATAGTGCCGTACATTATTAAAGAATGTTTATAAATATTTCAAGTCACCTTGTCTTTTATACTACTATCTAAAGGGTGTGTTCCCGTTTTGCACACATTTGATAATTAGCAGATTAGGAATAGAACATATACGCGTAAAATATGTTTTGATAGCAATTATAGTCTTATGTCCATCTGAGATTCACCCGGATTTACCTGTGTTTTATCAATGCATTATTCTTATGAATACTAGTACCGGTATTTACACTTTTTAAAGAAAACATTTTACTTGTCCAATCAAACTGAAGATGAAGTTTATAATTTATGCTGTACAAATATCCTTATTGAATTTTCATCTCTTTTTTATCATAGCGAGTATGTCACTGCCCAGACGCAGTCAGATAAACCCTGGTCAAACAAAGTCCAAAGGAAAACACCAGGAATCTGGTAGATCAATTTATTGTGTTGACACAAGTGCATCGTCGCAAACCACGGCCAAAATGTACGATCATCTCCCATTCTAGAGAGAGCAATATGCGGACTCCGGACCATGGCTTGAGACGATGACACAAGTGGTAAAAGCCTGTAAAAATGTACAAAAAGAGAGTTACAAAGATGAAGTAATACTCAACACTGAGCTGTATACATGATGTACAAATTAATGCATATTGACCATATACCTGTATGACTAAATGACTTATACAATCACTTTAAACACAGTATTACATTTAATACACCATGAATATTAATAGTCACTCCTGATATACAAGACTTTAGACTCGACTACCTATAGACCGACGACCGATTTCATAAAAAGACAAAATTTGATATTTTCACTGTTCAACTGCACAAGTTCATATATGAAAAAGACAGATACTAGTAACTGGCCAAATATATTCAATTCTATTAAAGATTCAGTACATATTACGCATATTTTATCTGAATGTTCAAGGACTGTAAATTTGGCGCGAAACAATCACTGTAAACAATCATTCCTATACAGCATGACAAAAATAGCTAACAGATCCTACATTTAACTAGCAGCAGATCTGTAGCTCTCTGAAATAATATATTGATAGACCGGAGAGCTACAGTGCCACCCATTGAAAAAACTGTATATTTCTTGCGCACGAAAAAGTGCGCTCGTTTCTCGATTTATTTCTCCATGTTTTTAAATTGTAATCTCAAAATATTACTAACCGTATGTTCCGAACATATTCTTTCACTGTTTCCACAACCAAACATTCCTCATAATTGTTGTTAATAGTCCTCCTGACTCTGATATTGTAATCATCGAACATTTTGCTCATTTATACAGCCATTTTGGTTTCAAAGATAATTCGGTCCGATATGCTTCGTTCAGATGTCAACTACGAGAATACTTGATAGAGGAGATAGGGATTTTTTGAAATCTTTCCTTTTTCGCAATTGAGGTAAGAATTTGGAAGAATAAATCGAGAACCGAGCGCACTTTTTTGTGCGCAATAAATATACAGTTTTTTCAATGGGTGGCACTGTAGCTCTCCGGTCTATCAATATAATTATTTTTTTGGAGAGCTACAGATCTGCAGCTAACATTTAACATGTCATAGCAAAATAATATGATCTATGAGAAAGATTTGCGAACGATAGTATTGTTCTCCCGCCTACCTCAAAGTCAATTTTCAAAAGTTAACAATAGTTGATGAATTTTTAATATTTTTATAGATAATTATATGGATTTTCATAAAACATTACTTATTTGGGAAAACAAAGAGAGATAACTCTAAAATTTTGGTAAAACTTGTGTTTTTCACTATAGAAATCAATGGAAAACGGAAAATATTTTTAAAACATCCCCCCCCCCCCGTGTCACAAAAATTCCTTTTTACAGGTAATATGGAATGGTATTTCACAAAATCATACCAAAGCTTTTTGTGTGACACGGGGGGGAACATATGTTAATCGGCAAAAAACGATAAAAATGCTTATTTTCCACCAATTTCAAAGCGATATACAACTGAAACATTGTATTTTTTGAAATATTTGTTTTATTTATTTGCCTAAACATAAGAAAAGATATAAAGAACATTTAATCATATCCAAGACTATTTCAAAATACGGTGATTCTTGAAATTCCGATTTCAATGGAATATATCGTCTACCCCCCTTTTTTCAAGAGCTGGAATTATGGATAATTAACTGTTTTAATAGCGCTGGTATTAAGACGATTTATCAATTACCATTGAACCTTTCTTTGTATTAAACAAAGATTTTATGGCCAAATTGCTATTCATATTGAATTAAATGGTTCCAAAATGTAGGCGGGGATCGAGAGTTAGCGTGCGTGTTTCTTTATCATAAACTAATATTCATAAATCACAAGTAAATGCAACATAAACAAGGTAAACTTAGATCGTGGAACCGATACATCTGTCTGACAAACCATGCTTGATAAACCGGAAATGCACAAAACACAAAAGAGTGGGCGCACTAATACCCCTAATTAATCATGCGGCTTACACTTAAACCCGCAAAACCATATATAATCATTAAACATGTAAAATCGTAATACATGTGACTTGACAGAGTAACTTCTCTAGTTAGTATCACATGGATACAACTCCATATATACTTAATTTTGTTTAGTATAAAAAAAAAAATGATTTTTTAATGTTTTTATTATTATTTTTTTTAATTATGAAATAAATCAAAATATCTGGTTCAAAAGGCAGCATTTCATTTCCGACAACTTGTTTTCCTTTCATTTCCGACAGTTTTTGTTTTCATTACCGACATTTATGTTCTTTTCATTTCCGGAATTCTTGCAGGTAATTCTTGGGTAATTTAATGTTAACCAAGTAGGTGGAAAGGGATTTTGAAAGGTCACAGCGTTCCAAAGAGGGAACCTTTACCTTTACCTGCCTTCTCACTTTGTCTGCTGCAGAACTACCTGGCCTAAATTTTGCATGGTAGAGGCATATACAAGCCGTATTGTTACATGCACCAGCCTGTAGCACCCCTTCACTCGGGTGAGCTGGATGTGACCTCAGCCGGATCCGGTGTGGGTCCAACTTACTATACCAAAAACATTAAATTGATGATTGATTAATTGTATGTTGTTTTACGTCCCATTCGAGGATTTTTCATTCGGCTTCGAATTTTGACCTTTACTCGGCATTAAGGGCCATTGAGCAGTGAGGGATCTTTATCGTTCCAACACCTGCCGTGACACAGGACCTCGGCTTTTAAGGCCTTATACGAAGGACCCGC